AGGGAAGGGAAGGGAAGGGGAGGGCAGGGGAGGGAAGGGGAGGGCAGGGCAGTCCCCGTCTGGCGCTGACGTCACGGTCCCGCCCGCGGCGGCGGCGGCGCGGCCGCGTCCCCGTGGCCGTGAATGAGCGCGGGGGGCGGGAGCGGAGCGGGAGCGGGCGGGCCGCGCTCCCACCGCGCTCCCACCGCGCCGCGCCCCACAAAAGTGCGGGGCTGCCGCGGCCGGGCCCAGCGCTGCCGCTTCCCGGGCCGGAGGGGCGCGGAGCAGCCGCGGGGCCGAGCGGAGCCGCTGCCGGGGGCGCCGCGCCGCGCCGGGTTTTTTATTTCCAATTTCTGATCGCAGCTGCATTTCCCTCCCTCCGCCCCCCCGCGCCGAGGAGGAGCCCCGGCTTTATGTGGTGCTGCCCGGGGAGCGCTCGGCGGCCGGGAAGTTCTTTGTGTCGCCGTCGCCTTCCTTTTTTTTTTTTTTTTTTCTTTTCTTTTTTTTTTTTTTTTTTTTTTTTTTTTTTTTTTTTTTTTTTTTTTTTTTTTTTTTTTTAAATGTATAACTTCATGGGGCTGAACAGCACGGCCGTAGCTATTCAGCCCAATGTGTCCTGCACATGCAACTGCAAAAGGTCTTTGTTCCAGAGCATGGAGATCAGTAAGTACCAGCCCTGCTGCTCCCGGGGAGGGTGCGGGAGGTGCCCGGGGTGCGGCAGCGCCCGGCGGCCCCGCCGCGGGCGGGGAAGTTCCGCGGGGCTCCCGGCGGCGCCGGGACCCTTGGCTGCGATGCGCTTTCCCGGAGCGGCTTTCCTCCCCTCCGTGCGAGCCCCGCTGTCTCATCTGTTGCCGCTGGGATGTCGGTGCGGGTGTGACACGGCGCGGGCCGGGCTGCCGGAGCTGCCCGGGATCGCCGCTCCCCGCCGGCACCGGGGCTGAGAGCTCCGCTCTTCCCCGTCGCGGCTCCATCACCGCCCGCGTCTCGCCCTTTCCCCGCGGTGCCCCGGTGCCCTGCCCATCCTGCGGGGGTGATGCTTGGGCGCTCCCCATCCTCCCCCGGGGGTCTGCGCTGCCCCCGTGAAAATCACCCTCTCCTGGGTACCCGCGGTCCGGACACTCGAGTGGGGTTTGTGTTTGGGAACCTGTTCTCCCCGTCTCCAGCCCCTCGGGGCTTTTTGTTCCGAAGGGCGATTTGGGTTTTTTCATTAATATTTTTCAACCCTCGCAGAGTAGCAGTGAGGGCAGTGCCTGACCTAAATATTCACCACTTCTCCGTGTGCTCTTTCCCTCTTGGAAATGAAGTGCACGGAGGTGAGAGAGAAGGAATATTACTGCTGAGGGGATAGGAATGAGTTTGGCTCTTTGGCAGTTTTAAGCAAACAGTATTTCCTGTAGAGGGAAGGTTTTCAAGGCATCCCAGAGAGCAGGAGGGTTGTCAGGATTGTACCCTGCTTAGCACCTTGTTCAGTGCCTTAAGATTCAAACCATGCACAGCCTAATGCAAAATGGCCCAAAAGGAAAACTTGGGAAAGAGTCTGGATTTTGCATATATGCCTGGCACTGCGACGGGGCAGGCTGGCGCTCGGTGCGTGCAGGGAGAGCCAGCTGAGCTGTGCCTGTTTCTGCTAGCACAGGATCTGCCCCGTTACCTCCAGCGGGGCTGCAGAGCATCTGTCCCTCGGTATTTTGGATGGCTTTTGTCCAGTGTCGTCTGCCTTCTCCTTCTCCAGCTTCATCCTTGTTTAAATCAGGCGTCTGAATCCCGGAGAAGTCTGCAGGCATTTTTATACTGGTACGAAAATGTGTTCATTCTGAAATTTAGCATAAACCATACCCTTTGTACTGTATGCACTTTTAATCTTGATTTAATCTCATTCGTGTTCAGACAAAACTAAGCTGGATTTGCCTGATTTTATTAACACTACCGGTACTGAATAGACCATTATTCTTCCCTGACTTTAACAGGCCAGGCTAGATGTGCATACCAATAGCAGTGTATATATAATGAAGATATAGTTCTTTTTTGTGTCGGCCAGTTGCTGAACATAAACTGTGTGCCACAGAATCCCAAGGACGAGACTTTGTGTCTGATCAAGGCTCATGGTTGTGATAAAAGTTGTTAATTAAAATGTGTAATGTCTTTTGAAGAAAAAGCTTCTATTCCAGTCTAACTCTTGGCATGAGGTTTGGTTGGAACAACTCAGGCTTTTAATTTCACTCTTTGACTTTTTAGAAATAGCATAGTTTATAATTTTTTCCCCCATTTTTGTCAGCATGTGACAGGCTTGGTAAGAGGCAGGTGCTGCTTATGGATGGGGGGGTGAGAGACAGGGAATGGTGAATGACACCGGAGGAAACCTTGCCTGGATTGGGATGGGTGTTGTGGGAGCCTCGTGCCTGATGCTCCCAAGGTCCTTCCCTGACTTGTCCCTGCCCTCTGTCACTCCGGGGTCCCGACACTCAGGTGCTGAGTTCACACGAGCTGGGAGCCTTGGAGCCTCCCTTGCTGCTGCCCTTCCTTATTTCATGGTGGGGTAGGTTTCTTATCACCGATGTTATTATTTATTTCCTGCTGATGGCGGGCAGCACTGGCTCACCCCTGTGCCACACGAGAGCTCTGGTGGCACTACGGGGGCTGTTACCTGATCGCTTCCTGCACCTGGCTCCGGTGGAAGGGGCAGAGCTGAGCCTCCCTGAGATAAATTCATTCTACAGCATTTTTCCTCTTCCAGCCGCTTGATTTTGTCTAGCTTTCTGATACGACTTTGAGGGAACCTCAGAGCAGCTACCACCAGATGCTCCTTTAATTTTTTACCCAAAATTTTCAGGCAGGAACGCTTCAGGAGAGTGGCACGGGGCGGGGGGGGAACACAAAACTCTGATTTACAACCCTCTAAATAGGTTAGCTGTCCAAGCGATGCCCAAACCCCTTTTCCTCGCAGGCTTTCCTCCGTATGGCGGCTGCGGCGCTGCGGTGGAGGGAGCAGCTGGTTTCTGTTTCTCCCAGATTAGGATTATAAAAGGGTTTTCGGGGGCGGGGGCACGAGTCTCGCCCGCCGCCGGGCTGCGGTGCCAATACGCCGGGCGGTGCTGGGCAGCCAGACGTCTGCAGCAGTGGGCTCTAATCGCCCCGGCTGGGCGAAGGAGGTCAGGGGTGACCGGCGTGGAACAGGCTGTAAATAACTCATTATTTGGCCAGGCGCCGTGCCTGCCTCCCCGCCCGGCAGCGGCACCTGCCCGCCCCGGGCATCCCCCGGGCATCCCCCGGGCATCCCTGCGGGAGCCGCCGGGGCAGCTCTCGGCGCAGGCTTTGCAGGCAGTGTGATCGTGCAGAGTGTTCTCCGAGGCGTTTGGGATTTTTGGGAGGCGTCCTTGCATCTCCCAGCATCGAGGCCAGCTCCCAGCTGCAGCGCCGTGTCCGGCTGGGCTGAGAGCAGGTTCCTGTCCAAGCCGAGACTTGTAGGTTTTCACATTCTTCGGTTTAATGACAAACCAACATGGCTCATCCAGGGATCACATCTTCTTTCCACTTTCACGCTGCTTTTCTGACAAATGCATTTCTTTCCTGACACTCCGTCATCGGCAGTTATGGCTTATTCCAGGGCAAGAGTGGATGTGAACCATGTGCTTCTTTATTCCCCCGCAAAGTTTTCCTCGTGGAGGGAAGCCAGAGCTGCTCCCAGTGTTTCAGCAAGCCCGAAAGTGCTTGCCCAGAGGATGTTCACTTTGTGGCATCTCAGTTTGACCTCAGCCAAAGCGGGGAGTTCCCTCTGTCTGGCTCTGGTTACGTGTCTGTGGCGAGCTCTGCTTTTTGCTGAGATCAGCATCCCAAGGTGTGATCCTGGAGGAGCAGAGCAGAGCGTGGGTGGATTTACTTATGGTGGCCCAGGAGCTGTCTGTGTGTGCCCTTGGCCATCCCAGGGGACCCAGACACTCTGCAGTGCCAGCTCTGTGCGTCCCACCTTTCTTACCCTAGGAAAGGCCTGATTCCCTAAACTTGGAGGTCTTTATTAAAATTTCAATTTATTTGTGCCCTCAGGTAGTGATTTGGATCTTAGTGTTTTATAATCGATGTCGAAAGGGAGAATGAAAAGACACAGAGAGGGAAATGCAGGGAAAATAGTCAAACTTTGTTTTTTCCTATGGGTGAACACCTGGATTGTGCTGTGCTGCCCAGCGGGACCAGCACATGGAATGATCCTGTATAATCAGAGGTGATCATTTATAATGCCAAGTGGAGGCAAGACATGGTTCATTCTTCCTTTTCAGTCAGTGTCAGGGTGTTTGCTGCAGTAAGTCCTGTTACCTTCTGGCATGGAGGCATCCTCCACCCCCTGAATGTTTGCCTCCATAGTGTGTTTTCAGATCCTGGTTGTGAGAACATCAGAACTGAAGGATGTGTGGGGAGCAGCAACCATATTCTTTTCCTTAAAGCCAGGAATTCCCAATGTAGGGTCTGGGATTACCTCTAAATTTTTGGGATATTGAATTAGTTGCTCCTTTGTGAATGGAGAGAAGAACACCCACAAACACATGTTCTTACTTTTATTTGCTGTTGCTCATCAAAAAAACTAATTATTTTATATTTCCCAGGCTGAAGTTGGTAGTTTGATAAATCCATTTTTAGAACGAATTTGTAAACATAAATTATAAGTGGAGAGACATGAGAAGACCTTTCCAAAGGAAGTACCAAACTACATGGTGTCACTAATAAAGGGTAATTACAATCCCGCTCCTTTCCTGAGTAACTCAGTGTACAGTCATGTCTGTCGATGTTACTTCATTCAGGTAGCAGCAGCTGTCAGAATTTGCTAAGCCTAATTAGTGAAAAAAAAGGTAATTTATTTGCAGTGGTGTCTCGTGTGAAAACTGCCAACCAGTTTGCTTCCTGGAGGCAGATCCTGTACTGGTGTGTGGTTTGACTTATCCCTCCTGTTCTCTGACACACAGTGTGTCTGCTCCTGGCGGGTTGCATCCAAGTGACAGAGCCGGGCTGGAGAGCTGGTGAGGAGAGAGGTACAAGGGCCACTTCTCTGCAATTGAGTGGAAACTTGGTTCACGCCATGAGCACGCTCCCAGACGTCCATAAAGCTCAGGAATCATTGCAGTCGACGGATGTTTTAATGCACTGTTCTTCCTGTCTGTGTGGCTGAATTGCTGGGTGATTATTTTATAACTGTTTTGGGTGGCAGGAGGTGGGTCACTCGGGCAGGTCCCAGGTGAGGAAATGCATCCCAGACCCGCTCCGTCTGCGAGCGGCGTGGCCGAGTCCGGCACAGGGAGGAACAGGGAGGAATTCTACATAACCAGCGAGATCTGACCCTTCACATCCATCCTCCAGGACTGATCAGTGGCTGCTGCATTGCTGCTTCCTTGCTGCAGGGAATGCAGTGGTGGTCTGGGAGCTCCTCCAGGAGCGATGGGTGAGTGTGGAGTGTAGGGGAGCAGGGCAAGGGCGATCCTGGCACAGAGCATGGGAGCAGCTCCATGAGTGCCAGCACCTGGAACATGGACACAGGGCTGGGAGCTGGAGAAACCCTGCACACACATCCCTCTGGGAGCTGGAGAGACCCTGCACACATGCACCACCAAGGGCTGACAAGTTTTCAGTACTTGAGGAGGTCTCAGGGTACTCTGTGTGTGCACACACATGCATAAACA